TGGTACGCCACGGCACAACGGTGTGGCAGAGAGAATGAACTGTACCATTGTAGAAAAGGTCAGAAGCATGTTAAGGATGACAGGGTTACCTAAATCATTTTGAGGTGAAGCAGTTCGAACAGCGTGTTACCTAATCAATCAATCTCCATTGGCTCTTTTGGATTTTAAAATTTCAAAATAATTGTGGACAGAAAAAGATATTTCTTATTCTCATTTGAATGTTTTTGGGTGCAAAGCATTTGCACATGTGGCTAAGGAACAACGGTTGAAGTTAGATGATAAAGCCAGTTCTTGAATTTTTGTTGGCCATGGAGATTCAGAATTTGGCTATAGATTATGAGATCTAGAAAAGAAGAAAATATTCAGAAGCAGAGATGTGATTTTTCGTGAAAATCAGAAGTTGGTAGATGTTGAGAAATTTGGGAATCAAAGACGTGTTATTAAGGGTGTCATTGACCTTATACCTGTCTCTTTGCCTTCAGACAGTGTCACTCAAGGAGTGGAGACACACATTGACAATCATGCTAATGAGCCAGCAAGGGCTGATAATGATGATTTAGAGGATATTGAGTAGGGGGAGCGGCCCACTTCATTAGAACCTCAGATTAGAAGATCTATCAGGGAGCATCGTCTATCAACTAGGTATCCAGTATCAAATTATGTGTTGGTAACTGATGAGAGGGAGCCATAATATTTTCAAGAAGTAGAATCTCATAAGGACAAACAAAACTGGGTGAAGGCTATGCAGGAAGAGATGAGTTCTTTGCAGAAGAATAACACTTATGAGCTAGCAGAGCTTCCTAAAGGTAAAAAGGCATTGAAAAATAAATGGATGTTCAAGCTAAAGAAAGATGGTGAAAAACTAGTGAAGTGTAAAGCTCGATTGGTGGTAAAAGGCTTTGGTCAAAAGAAAGGGATTGACTTTGATGAGATATTCTCTCCTAGTGTCAAAATGACTTCCATTCGAGTAGTTTTGGGTTTAATAGCTAGTTTGGATCTTGAGCTTGAGCAGTTAGATGTCAAGACCGCCTTTTTCCATGGTGATTTGGAGGAAGAAATTTACATGGTTCAGCCAGAGGGATTTGAAGTAAAAGGAAAAGGGCATATGGTTTGTAGGTTGAAAAAGAGTTTGTATAGATTGAAACAGGCTCCAAGATAGTGATATAAGAAGTTTGATTCATTTATGGTGGGTCATGGTTATACTAGGAAAAATGCAGATCATTGTGTTTATGTTAGAGAATTCCATGGTGGTAACTTCATCATCCTTTTGCTATATGTAGATGATATGTTGATAGTGGGACAGGATGTTCAGTTAATCCACAGTTTGAAAGTAGATCTGTTCAAGTCGTTTGACATGAAGGATCTTGGACCAGCAAGGCAGATTTTGGGAATGCATATTCGTCGTGAGAGGAAAGCCAGAAAATTAGGGTTATCACATGAGAAATATGTAGAGAGAGTGCTAAAAAGGTTTAACATGAATAATGCTAAACCTATTGGGACACCACTTGATAGTCACTTCAAACTGAGTAAGGTGACTTGTCCTTCTAAAGATGATGATAAAGAAAGAATGATAAAATTTCCTTAAGAAAGAATGATAAAATTTCCTTACTCCTCTGGGGTTGGGAGTTTGATGTATGACATGGTTTGTACATGGCCAGATATTGTTCATGCAGTTTAGGTAGTCAGCAGGTTTCTTGTTAATCCCAATAAAGATCATTGAGAGGCAATGAAATGGTTCTTTAGATACTTGAGAGGTACTTCTAAGATCTGCTTGACATTTGGAGGTTCAAAACCAATTTTGGAGGGCTTTACAGATGTAGATATGGCTGGTGATCTTGATGGTAGAAAATCAACTTCAGGATATTTGATTACTTTTGCAGGTGGAGCTGTTTCATGGTAGTCAAAATTACAAAAGTGTGTTGCCTTATCTACAACTAAGGCTGAGTATATTGCAGCAACGGAAGTAGCGAAAGAAATGTTTTAGATGAAAGGGTTTCTCCAAGATTTGGGTTTGAAGCAAGATGTGTATGTAGTTAATTGTGATAGTCAAAGTGCATTAGACTTGAATAAGAATGCTACTTGTCATTCTCGAACAAAGCACATTCATGTGAGATATCATTGGTTACGACAGATAGTGGCAGAACAATTGATATTGTTAGAGAAGATTCATACAGAAAAGAATCTAGCTGATATGATGACAAAGGTTGTAACCAGAGAAAAGCTTGAGCTTTATGCCGAACTGGCTGTCATGGACTCTAACTAATTTGTTAGAGTATAATTTCCTTCCTCAGTGGATTGGAGGGGGAGATTGTTATATAGGCTAACTTGGTCCAGCCCATGATGAAGATTGACCCAAGCCAATATATTATTTTATTGTGAGGTAAAAATTGGTGGATATATATATATTCTTCCCAAAAACGTGGCCGTAAGAAAGAAACGAGAGAGAGACAAAATATTGTGACTTCCAAGTTGTGAGAGAAAAAGGCATTCAATTGTGAGAAAGAAAAGTCAAAGTTTGTGGCTCCATTGAGAAGCAATAACATTGCTGCTAAAAGAAAGACAGCAAGCCGAGAAAATCTGGAGAGAAGAAAAAGCTAGAAATTGATAAATTAAATAAAGTGGTTCTTCAATTTCTTCTTGAGGTGTGGTATCACACATGTTTACTTTTTCTTTTCTACATTATATAAATTGAGAATTTCTCTAAGATATGTTTTTGGATTTGTATTCAAAGTGGGTTCTCACAAGGTTAATCAATCTGGTGATTTGTAGTGAGATAAATAATTGTCTTAGAGACTAATTATTGTGGTATTCTAATTTGTGGAGAATTCAAGTTTTGGGGGCATAAATTTGAATATTGTAATCTATATTAATTATAGTGGATTTTTGGCCGGAATTGCTCCGTGATTTTTTTCCCTCTACATTGGAGGGTTTTTTCCACATAAAAGTTTGGTGTTGCGTTTTCTTATTTTTGCTTGGATTATTTATTTGCATAGTTGATTGTTCTAGTTAATTGCTTGGATTGATAAATTTATTCTTGCAATAATTGAAATCGCCCAACACATATAACATAAAAGATACCATACACTAATAATTAATCCCAAAATTAATAACTAAAACAAACCATGAACCTTAGTTAGAAATCGTAAGAAGAAAAGATTAACATATTTCACTGCGCAGTAGAAATCTCAAAGTGGCAAATAGGACAGTAATGGCTTCTCATAAGCCAATCTCTAATGCAATTGTTGTGGAAAACATGAGAACACGGTGGGGTTGAGATGACGAACCTCGTCGGAATCTCTTCCAAGCAAACTGTACATATCTCAACTTCAGAATCACCCTTCTCGTATTTCATCTCTTTCTCCGACAATGATATGATTGCATCCATGCTCGCGGGTACCATGTTGAGACGATCACTTTCCATGGACTCCAACCAATGTTCAACTCTATCGTAAAAAACAAATTTCCTTATACTAATAACTATTGATTTTTTTGAGCCCGTGATACATCTGGTTTTTGCATATTCAATTAAAGAATCAGCAACTTTGCGACGAAACTTTCAACACCCAATTAGATTGGTGAGTTGTGGCAACAGAACTTGTTTTAACTCATCGTAAACTGCCCTTATATTGACAAAAGCGAATCTTGACATCTCTGCTCCTTCTTCTTCCATTATAACTTCACGTTCTTGATTTACCAAGTATTTTATGATTTGAAAATTGATTTCCATGAGAATATTCGTTGTTGATAAAGGGTCATTATGCTCCACTGGTTCTGAGCATCGTGAACCTATCGATGCACACCAACGATATATATATATATATATTTGAGGAAAAAAATATTTTTTATGATATTTAGAATTAAAATATATATTGAAAAATAGTACTCAAAATACAGGTTTTATTAACTATAAAAATACACAAGTTATTTAAGTGAAAAAAAATTATTCAACTATAGATTTAAAAACTTCCCACTTCAAAACATGAGTTCCTATTTCGTAGTGTGTGTATATATTTTTCAATCATGCTGCATAGATATAATGGTTGACATAATTCTTGGTATAAGGTCATATGATAACCTTTTATTGAACTGTTTAAAACACTGTCTACTTTTCATTCCAATCACATCTTCTCAACACTAGTTATTTTAATTGTTATTTCACCTATTTTCTAGCAAAGTAGCATTATTCTATATTTTTCTTCTTTAATAGTGAATGCTATTATTCCCTCATCTATATCGAACATACCAATAGAGCATTTGCTATGCTAAATTAATATATAGTAGATATGAATTATATGGAGAGATCCAAAAAATAAATGTAAATTGTTTTATCCAATCGCGTTTAATATAAATTTGACACATATTTCAAATAGTGAAGAATTTAGATAATGGAGCACAATATAAAAATTATTTAATAAATTAAAAGGAGTAATGTAAATGAAAATAAAAATTGACCAAGGAATTAAATAGAGAGATCCAAAAAATAAATGTGAATTATTTTATTCGATCGTGTTTAATATAAATTTGACACGTATTTCAATTAGTAAAGAACTTAGATAATGAAGCACAATATAAAAATTATTTAATAAATAAAAAATAGTAATGTAAATTATGCAAGAGTATCTCGATAGGAAAAACAAATTGACCAAAAAATATCCTTCATCAATCAAATGAAAAATATAAATTAATTATCATTGAGTAAACTTTCATCTAACTAATTCGATCTAATAAAATAATTGCCATTCAAGTTCTTCCTCTACTTTTTATATCAGTTGTCAATTTTCAATTGTTTGCTTTTTATTTGATTTTCTTCTTTTCTATAGCGCTAGGCATGTTTCGAGTTGCGTTGGTTTTGAGTACAACTCGAAATCGAAACCGAAACCGACTTGGTCGGTTTGGGTAAATTCCAATCCAAACCGACCCAATACAATGTTGAAACCAAACCAAACCAAATCAAATTAATTTGGGACTGTTTGGTTTGATTAGTCGATTTGGACATAATGTAAAACGAAGGAAAAAAGAATATGAAAAGTACATGACTTGTTTCATTGTGCAATAGGCATCTTAAAGCGACAAATAGGACAACAGTGACTTCTCTTTAACCATTTCGAAATGCAAAAGCTATGAAAAATATGAGAACATGGAAGGGTTGATACCACGGACCCTGTCCCTATGTCTTCCAAGCACACCATACAACTCTCAACCCCGTTGCTATTGTCCTTGAAACGAATCTCCTTTGGCAGAGATATGATCGCTTCCATGCTCGCAGGTATCATGTTCGGACCATTAATCGACCCCAACGAAGTTTCATCCAGACGGTGTTTAACAAACTGCGTCATATAAACATCTAACATTTTTTTCTCATCTGCAGAAGCTAGGATGTCGTGTCCATAGCTAATTAAAATTTTCACAATTTCTTCTTTAAAATAATGATCAGATCCACAATCTGGAAGTTTTGACAACAGATTTTGTTTCAAATCATCATGGATCGCCCCAAAATCGACCCAAGTAAATCGTGACCTCAATGGTCTTACATCTTCCATTAAAACTTCGTCATTGTAATTCACCCATTGTTCGATGGTTTGAACATTTAATTTCAGGAGAACACACATTGTTGAATGAGGGTTGATACCCACTGGTTCTGTAATCGGTCGTTCATCTATGGATGCCGACCAACAGGTCGACACGGGGAGTGTTCTATATATTTCCGAACCCATCAATATTTAGAGAAAAGCTCGAGTGCACGCAATCTAGAGAGAGATTATTTCTGGGAATATTATGTATTTATTTTTGGGAAAACAATGAATCAATTGCAGATGATCATGCATATATTGGTTTTAGAATGTATATTCCCTGTAACATTAGGATTTCAATTTTTTTAGGTCTTGGTAAGTATAACCTCCATCTCCAAGTAGGATATGGGAACACTACAACAGAAATTGTATTTATGGAAATAAAAAATACTATACAAAAATAAGATGAACATTTGAGATAAAATAAACGCTATTTTTCATGGTATGAGATAGCTGGTTATATAATGATTCAAGAATTACAGTTCTTTGTAAGTATTGATTCCTTCTAATTGTAAAATATGGAAACGTAATTATAATGGAGATATGATTACTAGTTAGCGATAATTATATCCCCTAAAATCCTAGTTTTTATTATATTTGAATTCGTAATTCCTTCCTATAAATATAGGGCTCTTATTCTCAATAAAATAAACACAAATTTATTGACTTTTCTTTTTATTCTCTTTTTTCTTGTTCAACACATAGACAAGCACTTTAAGTGGAAGAGTAATTGATAAATATACAAGGAGATGAACGAGGGGCAAGTTTATGAGACAAATATGGCTGAATCCGTGGATAAAAAAGACAACTAAAATTGTGGAGTTTGGAGGAACACAAAAAAGTTTGGCATACGGAGAGAGAAAATGAATAGTAGGGGTGGGTAGACATTTGATAAGATGGATAAGAGTAGTAAATTCATATGACATATAAGATAGAGGCATGGATGCATGAGCGAGAAC